GCTCATATTATTCTAAGAACTGAGGTTATGTTAGATAACCAAACGTTTTATGCCAAGCAAAATACTTGCAAGATTAACTTTTACTGGGAACCTTTCAGTGTAGTGTTACGAAGGAAAGCTGTCAGTAGCATTCATAAGTTACCTGATCTCCAGCTGCACCTGTATCAGTCTGCTCTGCTCAACTCTATCTCCATTTCTGACAGTAATGGGTTTTTTTTGTTTTGTTTTGCTGCCTGTAATCCCTAAATATTTCCAATTGATTCTTTTAAGAAATAATTCTGCCAATGCCATGGAAACAAAAAACACAGACTGGACTGTGGACAAAGTGGTCTAACAAAAAAAGACACACACACAAATGACAGAGGGAGAAAAATAAGAACAGCAAAACACATGGATTTGAAATCAAGCAGAAAATATTTAAATTAATGCCACATATATTATAATGTAATCTAATGTAATGCATGTATTATCTTACAACTTTTCCCTGACAAGTTGCTGACTTCTTGTTCAGGTCAGTAGCAAATGTATTTAATTTAAGGTGGTTTTATGCAAAAGGGGACCTGTATAGATATAATTATGCATTAATGCACTTTCTATACCACCTATTCCTAGAAGGGCCGTAGGGTGACTGGAGGCAGGGTACCAGTCCATTGCAGGGCCAATGCAGACTAATGGAACAGAGTGAAAGACAACCACAGACATGAATATGAATGAATAAATATCAACGTTACCTCATCACCTTGCAGGAGAATGAGGCGCACTAAGATGACGTGGATAGCATTCCCAATACTGGCATCGTGAAATATCCCAGCTACCTGTCGACACAAAGAGAATTCATCAACCATCGAAAGCAAACAAACAAACAACTGTTTAGAGACCCCTCACCATGTTCATGATGGTGAAGATGTAGGACTCCACGTTGTCGCTGCCGTGGTATTCAATGAGCTTGGAATCGGCCACCACCATGGTCTCCACCCACCGCTCTCTGCTGACCGAGCGCTGTGGACGAGCTGGGGCCCGAGCCGCCCCCCCCCGCTGCTCCCTCTCCCATTCCTCCCTCTCCATCTCCACCTGGACGGCGTCACTCGGAGCATCTGAAGCGTGAATAATGAGACATACCACTCGCCTTTCACTTAACCTCCCTTCTTCACTCAGGTGCAGACAGAGAGAAACGACGCCTCATTTGCAATTTACACGCACAGCTGCACCCCCGTGCCCACTCAGACACACACACTGAGACACACCTTCAACTCCACAGGGACTTGGAGTCTGTTTGGATTCCAGGCTGCGTTTTTTTCGGTGAGCTTCAGAGCCAGCTCTTGGATAGATGACGTGTGGCTCCGGAGCTCCTTTTGGATCCTCGGGAGATTTTGGAACAGGTTCGATAAAGTAGTGCCCCTCAGGCAGTGAGAAGAAGCCTCTCTGAGAAAAAAAAGAAAAAAGACGATGAAACCGATTAATAGGCACCAATGGAGCGAATTTAGGCTTTAAGCAAGCCAAACACATAAAAGAGGGCACAGGAATTGCTAAATCGCTCATTTATTAGGAGCATGCCGTCAAGCTCCAGACTGTAATTAAGAATAAAAGAATGTTATTATTCAAAAATCCTCTAATGCAGCTTTAAATCTTATTTCTGTTTTTAGACAACCTCAGGCGGATTAAAGCTGAAATTCCAAGCAAGCATGCTTTGGTGTTCCAAATTTTGATTCCATCTACATAAAAGTTGAGCGTTTCATTTACACTTTAAAGGGGATAAGGAGACAAGGCACTTTTAAAAGCCTCTGACATGACAGTTCCAAAGTCATTTCCATCTATTTGCGTGGAAGCTATCATTAGCTAACACTTCTGAATATGTGCCTTTCTCCTACCCTTAGGCACATTCTCCTTCTAAAACAGCAGCAATACAATTGACTCGTTCCTAAGTATGCCGTGCGTGTTCTTACTGGTGCAGGCTATTCACAAGCAGACTGCTTAGGTCTGCAAGACGCGACACACAAAAAGATGTATGATCCTACATACAAATGCAACGGCCAACAAACACAGTGTTTGCATGCAAACACATGAGAAACATTTCTGGTGAAAACGTTCATTTGAAAAGACGTTATGCAGTAAGCGTGCGTGTGTGTGTGCACCAGTGCATGTTTATGGGTATAACTTTTGCATCAAGCTGAGCTCAGACGTGCCCAGACTGTTCTGGGACGAACCCCTCCTTCTTGAAAAAGAAAGAATGAGCAGCAAATCATTCTTCCGAGCACCTCATACATGGAAAAAGGAAAGTCTGCATCATCACAGCCTGAGAGAAAAAAAAAACGTCGGTAAAAGATTTGCATGAATACATTTAACTTAAGAATGTGACTGTTGCCTTTGATTTTTTTGGATTTTCAGCTATGGAAAAATTAGGCTGGGCGTTGCTCACAGTTTAGCTATTTTTTGGTCCGAAGGATCGGCCCTATTGATCGAACACTGCTCAGCTTTCGGGGTTGTCCCGACAAGTTTGACATGTGTCAAAAACATTAGCGCTCAGCAGTCTGTAAACAGCCATCCAAACGGTGCATTCAGGGAGTTCAGGAGGTACAAATCTGGGATCTCTCAGAAAATCCTTACATGACACCACCAGTTAGGCAGTCATAATCAGATCAAACATAAAACATTATTAAACATAAGAAAAAGTTTTGTGTATATACATGTGTTTTTCTTTTTCTTTATATTTCTTAACTCAAAAGTAAGTCTAAAAAAGGGGGTCTCCAACACTGACTCAAACGGTGGCCTTCATCCAAAGGTCCCAGAGCTGTGGAGGACTCATCTCCAAAGCACGCAGCCTGATATGTCTATGTTCCGCTGGGAAACTTTCCCAGAGGCCCCGTGCACGGAAAGTCAGCTGATTTCAACACCCCGCTATATCTCATCCAAACATTCTGTCTGACAGCAACACCATACTATCTCCTCACTGTTTTGGAACTGGGATCTCACCGCAAGACAAAATATTCAAACAAAAACACGGTAAACGCATGGGGTTGAGGTTTTGGATAGGCTCTTTGTTACTGGCAGCTATCAAAGCCTCCCATCATTTTCAGTCTGTACCTCTCAATGTTGAACTATAAGTAAGTTCCAGCTGACCAACGCAGGTGGTGGAGTGCAGATCAACCAGGACGGAATGCTACAGAGAGGCCCTCTCACACAACTCTCAACTCCGACTTCGGCTCTGCGTGACGTGCACGGCGTGCACGATGTGCTGCAGTCCTAGTGAGCAGCGCAGCATGAAAGGCTCTGAACGAACATTGTGGTTATGGTGTTACTTGTGATCCTTAAATTATCATGCGCAGATCCTCCGTGATGTCTGTATTCATCAAACAAAAGCAACCTGAAATCACATAAGGTGAGACTTTGTTTTCTTTTTTCCCCCCCGAAAAAAAGTAGAATTACCCCCGACACACCTGCTCTTTGCTCTAAATCCAGAACGCTCTGTCAACTCAAGAGGCCCGAAACAGAAGTTCACTTTCACCGCCTCTTCCACCTCCATCCCCTCGCCTCCTCCCCACCATTAATCCCTCTCTTCTGACCCAGAGGAAGCGTGTTGTTTGGGTGCGAGGTGCCAGAGCCCGGGGAGGTTACCATAACACAGGTCTGTGTTCTAAATACACCAGCCATGTGGAACTGCTTTACGTCTATTTCCTGATTTTGTGGGTTTTGGAGTGCGGGCCAACTGGGTCTGAAATAAAGTAGCTGCTGTTACATAGCCTGTGGCCTCAGAAATAATTAGCAGGGCACAGAGAGGTGGGGGCTGATGTTGCTCATAACGGCACTAATGAATAACGATAAAAATCATTTTCAAGTAAACACACTCACAACGTATGTTTCTTTGCAGCTGTTCGGGTTAAAAGATAAATACATGAGAGAGCTCATTTCTTCCCCAAAGGTCAACAGCATTATTGTCATTTTTCATCTGATTAATGCTGAGAAACAGTTAAGTGAGGAAAATACCTTTATAATAGCTCTGAACGTGCATGCTCTTGTTCATGGTGTTGTGCCTTGGGGAATACAAAGGACTTCAATGAGAGCATTTCAGGATTCCTTGAATTAATGGTTTTCCCTTCACAGATAAATGCATCGATAGGTAATATTTTAAACAAACACATTCTTTGTCCAACTGTAATGATCCTCGTGGTTACATTTGGACAGAATTAAGTAATAGAAAACCTTGATGACGCATAAAAAGCCCTGTTTGTTTGGCATCTGGATGATTTTTCTCTGAAACAAACACGGTTTTAACAATTAGCCCATTGCTACACATCCACTTTAACTTGGCTAGGCTGTGTGTGAGCATGAAGATAGATAGTTCTGACATAGATAACGTTGGTGATTTGCGCTTACTTTTTAGCTCAAACTTAATCATTATTATCATTAGCATCGCTGTCCCTGTTTGAGTTCCCTGGGGTTATTACAGCTTCCCAAAACAGTCCAACTGAGTCCAAATTGGTCAGAGAATGCTCGGTTGGTTTTATGTTCAAGTGTGCCCTAAAATAACTGGTTATAGAAAATGGATGTTTTTAGCTTTTTTTCTTTTATTGTTGACTGAACAAACACCTTAAACTTTTTTTTTACACATCTGTCCTAGTTCAAGTTTGCTCACGCTTCACGTTTATATATCAACAGCTTCTTCTTTGTGCTGCATTAAAAAAAAACACTTATCAGAATTCAGATTTTAGGCCAGCGTCCTTTCTGTGTCTCATGAGGTTGAATAAACTCTGTGCAGCTGGAAAGATTTCACTCCCACATCTGTCTGACTGAGTCTGGCTGTTTAACCTTTTGTATGTGCTTTCAGCTGTTATATACATTTTTCCACCAGAAAAAAAAAGAAATGCGGAAGATTCTGCCCACTTCACGTGGATGCTGAGGAATTCTCTGACAAAGACATTAAAGATCGATGAAGGAAGTTTAGATCAACAGAATTTAGTCTTATGCAATGCATTTTTTTCCCTGAAGAATTCCTTGAAAGGGAGTAAAGTGGGTCAAATATAAATTAGGCTCGGCTGCCTGTCATTTCAGTCTCCTTTTAAGTCACATGGTCGTGCATGGCTGTCTTTCACTAACTTTCCCTGGAAGAGGCCGTGCAACAGCTTGGCCGGAGCCAGCGTCCAGCAGGAGGGAGATTCCTGCTGGGACACACTCAAACATGGATGGCCAAACATTCTTCCTGACTAAAAGTGACACATCCCATCATTTCAGGGGCAGGAAGTTCCTCCTCCTCTTTGAGAGGTGGATGTTTCAAAATAGTGGAGCAAACTATGGTACGGTCGTATTAAAATAAAAGAGCATGGAAAACTCATATCATGGAAAGCAGAGGCCTTAAAAAAAAAAGCTGGGTCTGAACAGGCAGGCCATCACTCATTTGTGTGTCCTCCCTTTGTAGTCGAACTCCGAATTTGATTTGAAACATGGCAGCCAAACCTCTCTGAACACAACGTGAGGGCCCATTTCCCGTCTTTCCATGTGTCAACAATCATTTTTCCATTTTTCCCTGTCTGCACAACAAAAAAAAAAGCAGCCGGTTCAGTCGGAGTCTGCAAAAACCTCTTCTAAGCACAGGCGGCTGCTGTAAAAATAAATGAACGAGCGAGGTTTGAAGACAAAGAGGACAGAGAGGGTCTGCCGGTTAACAAGGGGGGGGGTCCGGCAGCAGCAGCCGGCAGGTCTGCGGCACAGTCCTTCTGCAAATAGTGTCAGGAAGTCTTTGAAGAATAAACTAACAGGGCACTGTCTGATTTTTCCTTCTTTTTTTTTTTACTGCATAAGCCACGTACTCAGCTTCCCCTGTGCAGAGCCACCCCAGGAGGGTTTTAAAAAAAAAACCTTCCAGCCCAAAGGCACAAGATCTTTCCAAGAAAAAACAACAAACATCAGTGCAAATCTAGGTGACACATAAAGCTCCTGTGGGTTTCTCTATGTCGGTGGAGACGTGAGCGTGGATCACGTCCAGCCGTGATGGGACTAAAACTCAGAAGCTCCTCACCATTCCTCTGCAGGTGCTGATGGCGGCCGTCCCTCGCCCGGCCGAGGTTTCCACGCTGCCAACGAGGTGGCAGGGATTCCCGGCTAAGCGCCGATGCTCGGTGCTGCCGGAGCTGCCATTCCTCCTCTCCAGGACGTAGTGGCGGGAGACCAGCTGACCGTTTGCGGTCAGGTTGAACGTCAAAGCCTGACCCCTGTACTTGACCCTGTAGTAAACCCGTCCCTCTGGGGACGGAGAAGGCAGGTCCCTTCTGGCTCTCCCCCACTTAAAGTGGTGGGACACTTGGTGGGAGATGAACTCCCCTCCAGGGCTGGTTTTCACCGGGTGGACGATGGAAAAATCTGACCCCGGCTCGGACAAATGACCTGTGGGACACATTGGAATTCAGCAAAAAAAAAACAAAAGATGCAACATTTTTTTCCCAACCTGGTGATCATCAACATGAAGACACACAGATTGTGACTCTGACCTTGCTCTGCAAAGAGGGGGAAGAGTCCACCGGAGAGCTCTCCCTGGCCAGCCGCCAAAATGAGGACAAAATGAAAAAGAAAAAGGACCGAGTGCTCCCCCGAACATCGCATATTTCATCAAAGAACCGGGTTCCCAGCCCTGCAGAAGAGTCCTCGCTGCGCCGAGTCATGACACGGAGGGAGCTCTCAGAGGAAACACGCGCAGAGGAGGACTGGCAGCCCGAGCGTGGTTTTTAAAAAAAAAAAAAAAAAGGAGAGAAAGCTCCGTCTCCGCGGAGCGCGGAGGGGAGGAGTGTCCTCTGGACCGGTGTCCACTTTCCTTCCTCGCAGAAGTGTGGGGGGAGCGGAGCAGCAGCCCCGCAGACCTGTCCCACAACCCAGCCTCTGCCCTGACCGGACGCTGCGGCCAATTAGGTTGACCAGTTGGGATGCACATTTATGAGAGAAAAGATTACCTGTTAGGAAGCGTTTTTTTTTTACATGTTACACTTTCCCATATTTTCCACTAAAAAAATTGGAATTCATTGCTACATAACCAATGGCCAGGAAGTGGTCAGTTACTTTATCAGGAGGTTCAAAGAAAAGAAAGATTGCATTCACTCAGCTTTCTGCGCATTTTTTTTTACAATAGGACTTGTTCTTTGAATCACACATAAAATCTTGTTTGTTTTTTTAGGACTATACTATTTTAGCTCCATCATCAAAGTTAAGATTACTCAGTGTCAGAGTGATGGAGAAATATTTGTGGATGTGATTGTTATTTTAACTTTAATTGCTGTGGTTCTTTCAATCATTAGGCTGTCCCAGACTTTCTGCACATTCTGCATATTGTCATACATAATACTCAACCCATTCTTGAACTTTTTTATCTTCTGCCTCCTGTATTTGTGATATGTTTATTAAACACTATGGTATATATAATATAAGTATGTACTGTCTATCTGAACATAAAGGCAAACTGAAACATGAGAGGAAAAGCATTTTTTAATCTGTCCCAGTTCCTTGATCACCGTTTATCGGCCACCAACTGGATTCCTCCAAGATGGGGTTGATTTTAGGATCATTGAAAATATATTCCTTCGTGTGATGTATTTTTTCTGGTAAACACTTTCTCTTCCTGCACATGTGCAGCTGTGGGTCAGCAGTGTGTTAACTATGTGTGGCTGAAAGGCCACGGAGCCATGACCCACTCCTTGTGGCGTTGTCATGATCCCTGGGAAACACTGAGGCAGAAGTTACAATGAGCCCATACATTTCTGGAGCCTGACATCATCAATGTTAATCTATTCATACTTGTATCAGTAGCAGTACATAGGTTGAATAAACACCTTTGGTTATGGATCTATCACACACTAATCAGTTAAAAAAAACACTGACTGACTGTGAGTTTTGTGTTTGTTTTGGGAAGGGTTTTAGCATTGTGTAATTAGGGAGAGGAAAGCTGAGGTTGCTGCACATGAGACTGATGCAGTAATAAGGCATCCTTTGGAGAAACTTCATGTCTTTTTGACAATGACTTCACAAAAAGCTTACGGCAAACAGTTCAACCCAAAACATTGCCATCTATCTATGAGCTGATATCATTTGACTCCACTGTTAAAGAAGCAAACAGTAACATCAGTAATAGACTATGCGGGGTGTTTCTCGATAGGAGCCAGTAAAACTAACATACTGAAGATATAAAAGCAAGCTTTGAATGAACAGTGCACTGTTGGCAAGTGCTTTTTGACATGTGGAAAATATATCCTGTTTTTAACTATGAGGCCGTGTGTCCGAGATGTGTCACAGCCATCAAATAGAGCGAGACAAGATCGTGGAATAATTTAAGAGATTTATTGTTTCATCGTAAAACTGGCCAGCATCCAGTCTGTGGCTCTCTGGATTCAGTTCAATAATAGAATGAATCGCTCTCTTATCATTCCCAGAGACATTACCCAAACCGACCCCCTCGAGTCCCCAGTTGCACTGGTGTTCAACAGACTGTGAAATATCTGAACCTGGAGAATAATCAAGACCTTTTGTTAGTTTTAGGTGGGAAAGAGAGGCATTAACATAGAAAGACTGTTACTGAATTCCTCATTAAGGCTTGCTTGTGTTGTAGTGAGTATTTAATCTGTCTCAGGCGCTTTATTCTATTTGGCTCCCCAAATGCTTTGCGGCAGTTTGAGGTCAACATTGCAAGTTGTTTTTTTTTTCATTTCAACAAATACCTCAATAAAGTTTCTGCACTGACAGCATTCCTGCCTATTGCATCAGGCAATCTGCTGAACTCCTATTGTCTTCAAACACAGAGAAAGATATTTTTAACCCTGTAAAAACCAGATTTGAGGAAATCTGACTTCAAACAGGCTATGGTGAGTGGACAGTGTGATTGTTCATAAGAAGATTCCTTTTTTGCTGAACTTCTGGGGTAAACAGTGGACTTTCAGATTCACAATACTTCACTGTCTTGCACATGGGTTTAGAAGAACGTGCTCTCTATATAGCTTTGTTTATATACCAGTGAAAGTTTTTTGTTGTTCTGTTCTCATTTCAGTTTTGCAACCATCTCACACTTCCGTGCATGTGTGACTTTCCCCTCAAAAAGCATGCCGAACTTATCCAAAAATAACACGGGCCTCCAGGGAAGGTGAGGCCTTTATGGACATGAAGGAAATTTGATCCGTCTTTAGCTTCTGCTTCGTTCTGTGCACGTTCACTGAGTTTTGTATCTAAAAATGGGGCTCCGGTGTCTCTAAGCCTTTATGATACGACCCGATAAACCTGTTGGGACACTTTTCCCGTGGTTTCCTTGTTTTAAACTCGCCCTGTGGGGGGGTCAGCCTGCTCATCCGTCCCTGGTCCACGTGTCTGCGCTCCCCTAAACGGCCACGCGAGGGCGCTGTTGGCGCCAGACTCCGTGAACTTTGTTCAAGTAGTAAATGGGCGTGTTTGCCCCCTTCCAGGGCTTATTCCTCCGTGAAAGGCAGGACATGGACTGAAGTTGGACGCGTAAGTTAACCCTAAGTGTAATTCTGTCGCCGTTTGTCTCGGAAAACGGTCCAAACTGATGCGGTTGGTCGTCTAAAGTGCGGCGTTACCGCTCCAGAACCACCCGGGCAGTCGCAGCTTTGTTTTGTTTTTTTTTTGTGGGAAAACATGTGTATTGATTGATGGTGTCTCCTGCTGGGTTAGTGTGTGAAGGGTTGGGTGACCTTTACAGAGACTTTAATCCTCGGTACATGTAACTGTGACTTAACGGCTTTATTTGTGCTGTCTGCCTCACTTTTACGCTCTTTCCTTTGTTCCTGGCATGTTCCTGATGTGGGTCAACTGTGAGCTTGCAGTGCCCTGCAAAGGATGCATGGGCAAAATACACCTAACAGCATCTTTTTCTTTCCTGCTGGCAGGGGCAGCACTTCATCCGAGCCACCGGGCTTTTGTAAACCTCAGGGAACAAGGAGAAGATGGAGGACTTCTGGACGGGGGTCCTTTGGGCGGTGAAGATATGGCTGTACCTCATCATAAGCCTCATCATGATCCCGGCCATGTTCGGGTTCTCTCTGGGCATATCCGAGACCTACATGACAATCCTGGTCAAGACATTAGAGGTACTGTTCGAGGCAACGCAGATATTGTGGTCGGAGGGTAAAAACCGGCCATCCCCTTTGGTCTGATCCCTCAGTTTATTTATTTTTGTTGTTGTTTTTTATTTAATAGTCTCTTTATCGTTTTAAAGTGAAGTATAAAGCACTTGTGCAGTCTTTAGGAAGTGTTTGGAATGCTAGATGACCACTCATCATAAAGAAAAGCCATGAATGTCTCCTGCCCCCCCCCTTTTTTTCAGTGGGCCACTCTGAAGATGCAGAAGGCCCACGCAGAAGAACAAGCGCTCAAAGCCTCTGCTGCCAACGGTGAGTCGGCGTTCGGCGTGTGAGAAGAGTTCTCTGGTAAAGACGATTTGTCACATCCTTTATTGCAAAACACCCAAAGTGGGTTGAGGGACAGTAGTGAGTCTGCTGCAACATCGGGGTTTCGCAAAGTACCGCGTTACAAGTCTGAACGGGCGGCTGCAGAGTCACTCTGAGTTCAGTGGAGCAGACAGCTCACCAGTAAAGGGGCCGTCCGCTCCTCCGGAAGAAGATCCAAGACTTGTCGCGTGACCCGTTTAAATGATTTTATTTTGGATCATAAGAAGAGAAATCTCCATTTGCTGCACTGGGAATCGGCCAGGGTGGGGGCGTTTATGGCCGGCAGCAAGGTGAAGTTTCTCCGAGAGCCGGGCCCGCGCTATCTCACAAGACGCAATCACTCAACTCCTTATCTGACACAAATGCGGGTTCTCCAAAGTCCAAAGTGTGTCTGTGGAGCATTTTTAAACTTAGACACAGACAGTTAGAAGCGGTGATAAGGCAGGTGTTCTAAAAGTTTGCTCTAAATATTGAATGCAGAGTTTGATGCTCCAGGTTTCGGACTTTGCTCGCTCCACTATTTATACAATAATGTGGACTGAAAGTTTCTCTCGGAAATGCTTGGTCAACATTTAGATGCCATACGTTGTATATTTTTTGCCATCTGAGCGTGAAATAAATCGAGTATCTGTGTATTATAGTTATAATTATCACAATTGTGTCTCAAATAGCAAGTGAGAGGGCTCTGTTTGATGCCATATAGGAAACTGAGTTAAAGCTTTGAGTCAAGTTCAAGTCGAAATGATTGTTGTCCTGATCTCTGACATATCTCCTAGATCTAGCTGCAGTATCTCCTCTCAGCTCTTATCACTGCTTCTTAAGCCAGAGTCCAGTTGCACGTTGAACCCTTGCAGCTGTTTAGATTTTTCATACTGTTTAATGCTTATCTTTGACTCCATCACTGACTGGGGAACTGTTCGCTCTTCTAATCTCTTGGGAAGGGGAAAATGGCTCGCTTAAATTCTGGAGCGCTTGTTAGATAATGGCTGCTCTCAGCTGATTTAGATCAACTCTCTGACTGTGTCACTGTGTTTTTGTTTGCGAATCAGGTCTCATTCAGCGGGAAGGCGGTTCTATGGAGAAAGAGTTAGGGGAGCTCAGAGCAAGTAGACCCAAACCACCAGTGGGGGGTGACTTCACGCTGAGTGACTGTTTCTATTTCACCCGCCGAGGAATTGAAAGCATTGTAGAGGATGAGGTTTGCTTTTGCTTTGCTCGATTTGTAGTTTGTAGTTTTGCACCTCCAACTTTAAGACATTCTGATTCCTGTTGATTTTTTTTTTTCAACTCAGGTGACCCAGCGGTTCACCTCTGAAGAGCTGGTGTCCTGGAACCTGCTCACTCGTACCAACAATGATTTTGAGTACATCAGTCTGAAGCTGACGCTGGTGTACGGCCTCGGTATCTTTGTGCGATACTGCATCCTCGCCCCGCTCAGGTGAACAAATACAGAAAAAACCGAGTCTGACGATTTCAAAATGAGGCTGTCAGTCTGACAGGGCGTCAGCACTCTGGGCAGAAATCACGTCAAAGGTTGAGTCAAACTTCAGTGGGTGGATCTCAAGTGATCTTTGACCTATTGAAAAAAGCAAACTGTAAGAATAGAATAAAGTTTATTTTTCTACAAGTGCATTACGAAAGCAGAGTGGCTGAATTTAAAAGCGTCAGAGTGCTACAAATTCAGCTCGTCTGTGATCATTTGCATTAGGACAAAGCTTCCAGTATCTTTTGGCTAAAAATATACAAGATTTCTGACTCTTTCCAACACTGTGTTAAGAGATGTGAGGCTAACTGCGTTCCTCTTTCTCCAGGATAACACTGGCCTGCATCGGTCTGAGTTGGTTGGTAATCGGAACATCTGCTGTTGGACTCCTTCCAAATTGGAGGTGATTACAAAATATAACCAGTTCAAGCATGAATTCTTTATTTCTATGTTTAATAGAAAGAGCTGTTTCCTAAACGTTGCTTTTATGTGCGCATTTAAATGCGTATTTTTAGGATCAAGTCGTGGCTCAGTGAATGGGTCCATGTCATGTGCTACAGGATCTGTGCTCGAGGACTCTCGGCCACCATTCGCTATCACAACAGGTACCCGCTGGCGTTATGCTGTTCTGTACCAGCTCAGTAATAGCTTCACGGTAGCTTTTCACTCTGGCGTTATTGTTCACCCCACAACTACAGAGAGAATAAACCCCAAAAAGGAGGAATCTGCGTGGCAAATCACACCACCCCTATCGATATCGTGATTCTCTGCAATGACGGCTGCTACGCCATGGTGCGTGAGGGGGGCCGGCTGCTTTTCTAACAAAGACTTACGTCTGAGGGGCGCTATGGTGTGTGTGACTTTCTGACATCCGTCCCTCAGGTGGGTCAGGTCCATGGAGGGCTGATGGGAGTCATTCAGAGAGCCATGGTGAGGTCTTGTCCTCACGTGTGGTTTGAGAGAGCAGAGATGAAAGATCGCCATCTAGTGACCAAAAGGTTGGTTCTCCCTGCTGCCCCCCCCCCACCCCAACACACACACATACGCACACACATTTCTGCCAGGCTTGTAGTTGCCTGTCTCTCTGGGTTGTGTTGTCAGTCTGGGTGGCTGTTGTGTCAGTAAAGGTTAGTATTTTTCTAGCGGTAAAAGCAGGCTGAGGTAATATTTTTTTTTTCTCATCCAGACATGAACAGATACGTTTAAGGAGGTTTCTGATGAAAAATGACTCATGCTGTAGGATTCCAGCAACTTATTGCATCCTCTGGTTTTAGATTTGCTACTATTTTGCGTGTGGCAAAGATCTATAAATATAATCAGTAGTCTTTGTTTTTCTTTCGTGTTTTCAGGTTGAAGGATCATGTGAATGACAAGAAGAAACTCCCCATTTTGATATTTCCAGAGGGTAAGTAGGGCCATGGTTTTTAATCCACTTCACAAAAGTGAGGTGTTTGGATCTTCAAACTTGTTTCTTTTTTTTGTTCTAATTCATCTCTTGGTGTCTCTTTAGGTACGTGTGTCAACAACACGTCCGTCATGATGTTTAAAAAGGGAAGTTTTGAAATTGGAGGAACAATTTATCCTGTTGCTATTAAGGTACTTCAGTCTTTTTTCAGTGCCTATCTGTTATTCTTTTTTTTTCTGTAGTCTTCTGGCTCACACAGTTAAAGCATCTCCTTAAATGTCTTTTTACCTTTTAACTTTTTTTTTTAGTATGACCCGAAGTTTGGAGATGCTTTCTGGAACAGTTCAAAGTACAGCATGGTGAGTTACCTGCTGAGGATGATGACCAGCTGGGCCCTCGTCTGCAATGTCTGGTACCTTCCAGCCATGCATCAACAGGTACGGGCCACCCCTCCTGGATACCTCTACGTCACGGTTTTTATGCCGGAAAACATCGAATTGCATTTCTTTTTTTTCTCTAGAGATTTTCTTTCTCTACTTACATGACTGTGACGGTGGTGACGTCTTGGTTGATTAGTTTAAAGGAATGAATTGCAATGTTTCAACACATTCGAGCTGTATTCATTGTAATTGCATATTCCACAAACAGATTTATGCCATAATGATACCCTTTAATTCGCGATCAACTGGGTTTAAAACCTTTCTTCACATACAGGTGCTGAGTATAAATTAATAAGAGTAATGCTACATAAATCTAGAAAATTGATATATTCCTATTTGATTTACATCAGCAGGTACCATCAAAAAACATATCAAAACAAATTTCATAAAAACCTGCCCATCAAGTTTCTTGGGCATTTTCATAAAAATATTAGTATTTTTCATTTCAGTTGAGTACAACATTGGGCTAAAAACAATTATTCTTTATTTATTCCCATATCATGTCACTTTCTGCAGTGAATAATCTGTATGTGGACATATAACATTTCTGTTTGCCTCACTTTGTCATTCCCATACAGATGAATTCAGCTCTGACCGCTATCTGTCTTTACCTGAAAAATCGCAGTGCAACAGGCCTGCCTGTGAACAAATCTGTTAACCTTTGCATAACTAAGTCTATTTGCATAAATGGAATGCTTTATGGTTTCCTCATATGGAAGATATATCCCCACAGTGTGACCGTTTAAGAACATTTATTTCCTCAAAACAGGTGGAATAAAGACATCACGGTAGACTTTGCTCTTTATTCCGAAATATTAGGAGGGGGAGGATGCTGTCCAGTTCGCGAACAGAGTGAAGTCGGCCATCGCTCACCAGGGGGGGCTCGTAGATCTGCAGTGGTAAGCTGGAAACTCATCAATAAACCTCACAGAGTAGAGTTTCAGAATGCGATTATTTCTCTCAGTTCTAACTCTCTACACACCCTTCACATCCGGCTGTCTCTGCAGGGACGGGGGCTTGAAGAGGGCAAAGGTGAAAGACACGTTCAAGGAGCAGCAGCAGAAGAAGTACAGCAGCATGGTGGTGGGGGACGACAGCAGCAGCAACAGTGACTGAGATCCTCCCCCACTTTAATGGGAGATCCCTCCGTTTGCCTTTGTGAAGAACATACAGTGGCAAAAGCCACTCTACTCCGGTGTTTTTACACTAACCGAACATGACAGGATACGCGGTACAGCCAGATGGACTTAAAATAACACTGAAATCTTGCTACAGCTAAAAGGAATTCTATCTCAGTGATTAACAGTATAAACAAGTGCAATATTGAGTCTGGTTAAAATTGAGAAAAATGAAAAGGTTTTGTTTTCCTCATGCTGAATATTTCCCATGTTGTGATTTAATATTAATGTGAAAAGTGCTGTGAGTGAAATGTGTGTTTAAAATGGTTAAAGAAAATGTGACGTATGAATTTCTGTCCTCTTTAAAAAAAACAACAACACCTCGTCTTACAAAAAGCATACTATGTGATTATGTTGGTACCAAAAAGGCCTTACTTTGTGGTATTTTGCGTAAATTGAGTGTCATAGAAACACTTGTTTTTAATTCATGGTTTAAAGGAAACCTGAATTCATTCAGGTTTTACAGTTCAGGGGCAAAATAACTTAATTTACCATTTAACGTGCAAAGATCAAACAGCAACATCCGTTTCACAGTACAACACACAGCTTAGACGTTTTAGAAGTCTCTCCGCTGGATGGTGGGCCCAAAGTGTCATCCAGGCACCCGTTTTTCTGAGGGAGTTCCTCTTCGGCCCCTAAAACAAAATGAACAACTTTTTTCAGTCCTTCCTCTGTAAGTGTGTGAATCCTGATTTCATCTTACTATAAGCATGAATGTTCTCACCTTCATTCTCGTGAGGACTCAGATCGGTTTTACACTGCATGAAATAATTAAGTCCTTTATTATAAACTCAGAAGCAAGTGAAAAGCCTGTAAAAGAAGACGGCACTTACCTTCGATGTGTTCTCTTTTGTCTGCATTTGTTTAAGCTCCAGATGCCTGCAAAATGTTTTAAAATGAGAAGTTCTTATGTCATTGTTTGGAATTTTTTGATGGTGACTTGCGGCCCTCATTTAATGAAAAGCTAATGTTCAACAGAAAGATTTTTAAGTTGTTTTCCTTTTGCATGTTGGCTTGAGGGTTTTTACAATAAGATCCTTAATTTCCAGTTTAAAAAAAAATCCTGTAAAGCTTAACAGTAAAAAAAATAATAATAATTTGATGCTGTTTGGTCACATATTTTGATATTTGCTGTGAAATACATAAACCGCATTTACACTTTCAAATTCTGTTATCATAGATATACAATTGAGTTGCCAAAAGATCTTGAAACTATGGCAGGTCTTGACTTAGTTTGTAAATTTGTGCTGAAAACTGTGAATGAAAAATCCTTGAAAAAAAGTTTAAGTTGCAGGAAAATCTCACCGGAGGAGATAGGAATCATACTGCCGAAAGACAGGTTGGGTATTCCTCTTCAGTCCGTCGGGTGTCCATCTTTTGTTTGTGTCTACTCCTATATCCACCCGGCCTGCCGCTCCGGATGCAATAGGCATCTTTACCAGCAAAAGCACAGGTGTCCGAAAGAAGAAAAACTCAGCCATGAAGCTGCAAATGTTGCAAAAAGGTGAGCTTGTGCTGTCGAATTTCACACACAAGCATTGTTGCTGAATGCCTCTTTGGAGTGAGGGTTGGAAAATGTGTTTATGAGGATGTTTGTTGTGGTGTCCATGGTAACGGAGCCCCCAAAAAGAATAGAAAAGAAGTGAGGCCCCTGTGAATGTGTCAAAGTCCCTTTACTCTACTTTTACTGTTAAAAGTAAGGTTTTTTACCTATTAGCTGAAGTTAAATGGTCAAATTATCCATTTTAAACCTGATAATTTCCTTCTCTAACTCAGCATCTTGTTTAGAGTTGTTCATCTATGGAGCAGAATTTATTCATTTAGACTTTTTTTTTTTAAGAAGCAAGTAAATTACATTGTTTGGGCTTATTTTGTGAGTTTTACTTCACAAAATGATCACCGACAAGGTTTCAAAGAGTCCCAGACTTTATTGTGAGTGACTTATAAAGAAATGCACCAGCTCCCGTGTCCAGCAGAAATGCAGCCTTTAAGACTGAATCATATCTTGCTCTATTTCTCCAACAATACTCTTAACGAATTCCAAGCAGATGATGTGAAAAGTTCATCTGCTTGTCCGGCTGATTTATTCGACTTGACTACGCAGATAACGGTTGTTGTTAGGATTCTTCCTTCTCATCTCCATGTGTGATGATGTAGCAAAGCGATTTGTAGTCAATGTTCCCAGTCGGGTCAATGGGAGCGAGACTGAAGGCCTGATCCACCTACAAGTTCACAAGATTCCAATTCACTCAACGAAATTCACCGGAAAGAATCTTTTTAAATGTTTTTCCTGTAAAACACATGCAAAACAAACCTCATCTGCCGAGAATTTGTCAGCCTGGTTCATGAGTAATCTTTTAAACCTGCAAAAGCGAAAGAAAGAAAACAAATAAACAACTATGCAAAAGACAACGATAATTATCTTAAAATGAAATAAAGCAAGGCTTACTCATCCTTATTAACAAAGCCTGTCCCATTGGGATCAAAGAGTTTGAAAGCAGCAAGAATGGTGTCCTCAGGATCCGTACCTAAGAAAAAAAACCTCATCAATCCTTAATCTGACAGTTCCTTGTAGAAATTCAGAAATGTGCTTAATCATCTGTGAGAGGCTGTTACCATTGAGCTTCTCCCCAAAAAGGGTCAGGAAGACTGTAAAGTTGATGGGACCCTTCCCTTCGTTCAGCATCTCATCCAACTCTTCGTCTTTCATATTCAGTTTCCCTAGTGCAAAAAAGTTAATCAATGAGCGTTGAACCAGGAGTGAAAAAAAGATTTTGTATTAGTCTTTGCTTAATCATCGTCCTTTAAGCTGAAGTGTAGCTGATAGAGAAGTAAAGAAAAAGATTAAATTAAAGAGGTAACTACCCAGCTGAGCATAAGTCTCCCTGAGGTCCTGTTTTTTGATAACACCATCTCTGTCCTGGTCAATGCAGCCAAATGCCTGTTGCATAAAACAGAATACATTTGAATCAAATACAATAATAACTCAAATTTAATTTGTATATGTTTCTTTATTTGATAACTTGCTTTTACGTTATGTCCGAGAGCCAATATAGTACACAACAAAATCCAAGAGGAATACTTACATGAATACATAGCATTTGAACACTGTTTTCAACATTTATTTATTAATTTAAAGTCATAAAAACAAACGCAGACGTAACACTGAGATAGAATAAGCTGTTCCTTTAGTCCCACAAAGGGAGATTTGAGAAGTGTGAATTAAGAGTGTTTTTTTTGTTAACAAACAAAAAAATTAAGATTTCAGATGAAGATGTATTAATTGTTAGCTGTAGCTCAAAAATAATTTTCATTGATAATTTATGTTCCTCACTGATTTTTAACACGTTTTTGCTAATGAGAATACCCTTCTATCTAGAAAATCCAATCATTCCAAAGGAGACTTGCATGCTTCCCTTTTGCTGCATGGAGATGAAGGTGAGGGTTTGATAAGAGACTAAACTGTACCTCTTTGAATTCCTGAATCTGTGACTGTTCGAACATGGAGAAGACATTGGAGCAGGATTTCTGTGCTCCTCTCTGTCTCTTATTGGATGCCTTCTTGCTTGCCTGAAAAGTTGAATGCAAACCATTAGGAATAACATCAAGAAGGCTATATAGCAACTGCTGTCCAGAAGAAGGTTTAAAAAAGTTTAAATTCATGCGATTCATATTCTTTTTTTTTTCTGAATGCTAAATGGCTATGGAAGAAAAAAACTTTGAGTAACTTACCATGTCTGAATGAGTGAATGTGGACTCTCAGCAGAGGTGTGATGCTGGGATGGGTTTTATGTACAGCCCATCTTATATTCAGAGCTCCCATAATAGCCTCCGATGGACAGCACAGTCCCTTACATGGCCATTTCCACGCTCAGTGTGCCACAAAGGGGACCTGATAAGATGTGAGTCCAGCAGGATTCCTGTGGGCTGGAGAGGAAAGATATGAACCAAGCCGGGGGGAGACAGAGGAAAGTGACTGCTGGCACCTGACAGGCTCTAAAACAAAAAACAGCTTTGGTTTGAGTGTGAATTTATTTTTATTTTTCTTCTGTAAGACACTGTAATAACAACGATGTGAACCCAAAACCTAATTTTATAAGAATACATCAGTTTACTGTAGCAGTAAAACATATGATACACTCATTAAAAGAGAGGTAAGTTTGATCTACACACTGATCTCCATACTTTGCAATTGCACTCTGTTGATATGTTTACCATGTCTGCAAACCAATCAATCTATACAACTATGGTTGTACAAATTCTTGGAAATAAGGCTTAGTTGATCATATTCATCATTTTTTATTAATAGGGTTTGTGAAATAGGACTTTTTAACTTGTTATGCGAGAATTTCCATGTCTAGATTTTCAGTTACCCCTGACTTTAATAATTCCTAACTAAAAGAATTAGCAAGGGTGTGTTCAAGCTTTTGATTTGGTCTCCCAATAAATCGATATATCTACAATAATTAGCATGTAGGATTATTTATTATCATTATTTATTATAATATTAATATGTATTCATTCCTATTTAATTATCATGTAGTTAACGTTTAATTAATTTTAATTAACATTAATATTCTTATTTATAATTTATCTAGGATCATTTATAGAACATTTTATCATCACAAAATGACTTTGTGATGATGAAGGGGAGCTAGGTTAGGGTTATGTCAACAGCAGTGTGGTTTGATGATATTTTTATCCACACTAGCCTAATTTAGGCTTCAATGCCTGGAAGGTTTGGCATGAAAACACTAATTGTTAGCATATGAAAGCACAATTACTAAGTCACATATTCTAATTGATTTTATTTACAGTTCAGCTTATTCACATCCAAAGCACATTTCATCATTATACAGATAAGAAAAACTACACAATATGAGTAAACATAGGAAAGGAGATGTAAACATAAAACTTGAATGTACAATACCGAGAAATACTTCATTGCTCACAAAGAAAATGACACAACAAAGCAATGAATTTGGTTTTGTCGAAATTTACAAAAGCATTTACAAAATTCCTTTGATGGATTAACCAGTTTCAACTGGTTCTTATATCTATATATAATATAATGTATTCAATAATATGTCATCCCTTTTAAAAGGCTTCAATCTGCACTGCCGTCTGGCAGCAACACATTGTGGACACATAGCTTAAATATGATTTCATGCAACCCTATGTTTTAGACTGACCAGTAAACAAGTTCTTAAAGATGAGGAACGTTAAATTTGCTACAGATTGTCGAAACACTTCAAGACACAATCTGTAAAACGAATCACTTGTTGCTCTCTGGTCCTCTTGTCATCATCCGGAGATGTGTTTTCAGTTTCAAACTTCCTTAGGCCTGTGAAGGCACCAGTGGCATCTTTGGACGGGATTTGGTCTCCGATGTCCTCCGGTTGGTGTGCTTGCTCTCTTCACTGCTGCTCAGTGCGTAGCAGTCAGTCTTTACTGGGTCACCTAGCATGAGGCCATCTTACAGGCCACCGCTGAGATGAGAGCAGCACCACGACCGCTCCCCTCCTCCGACTGGATGAAGGTAATCTGGCAGTGAGGGGTGAGTTCCCTGACGGCAGCGTGGAAACGGTCACGGAAGCTGAGACAGAGAAGCAAGCAGTCAGTACAGGGCAAATCTACAACTGCCTCCTAGTGTCATGCCATTCATTCACTTCCTACATTAATAATTAGTTATTTTTAGTAAAATATCAATCTTTCTTGATCAAAATGATAGGTGTCAAAATCATACCAAAAAATTTGTTTGGATCTTTTGACTAAAATAAGAGGGTGAAATACAAAGAATTGTTTGTTAACTCAATTAAATCTTTGATTCGGTGCACACATGCATGGGAACATCAATAAATGTTTGGCTGTCAATATTCTTTTATAAATAATCTTTTATTTTTCACTGCAACTGTTTCTGCTTTTAAGTATTCAGTTTGCCCCTGGAAATAAATGTTTTGTAGATAAAAAAAAGATTTTCCCCTTTGAATTTCTAAATCTACTCACATAGCTTTATATCTTTGATGCTAAAACCGTTGAAACTCAGAACATTTCTCACCTGGGGTGCAGCTTGTAGACGGATCCGTCCACTCCAACTGTGATCTTCATCTCCTCCTCGTTGCGCCGCTCCCGCATCAGATTGATGACCCCGGCCAGCCCTGCCCCGCACACGTGAGCAGAGCGGGTGGAAACACTCTCACAGACCAGACGCACGATGTCACAGTCCAGCTCGGAGGGGAGGACACCCAGGGAGGACAGGATGTTGTAGATTTGCTTCCTGTCACCAGAGTCACTGAAATAAAAGCAGAAAACAACATTTTATGGAGCAGTTCAATAAGTCTATCATGACGTGTGCTGAAATACTGCTTATAACCGTTTGTTGTGTTCTGGTGGATCACAGCATTTAGTTAGTGTTTTGTAATTGCTTTTTTTATCAGCTTTTAAGCATTTGCCATGACTGAATGTACATATATATCTAAAATGGTCTCAATCATAAATCATCGTATGAATTTTATGGACAATAAATCTAATCCATCATGCAATTCTGGTGTGCGTTGCCAGACAACCAGATCTAAGATAAACCAGCACCGTGCTCACCTCTCCACCTGCGAGACAAAGCGGGTCTCGAAGCTGCCCCGTGTCTTCAGCAGCTCTGAGCCCTCGCCATTAAACAGAAGGTCTTCATTCACCAGCTTCATCAGAACGAGCCTCACCACCTCCCCCATGTATTTGCCACTGATCAGCTTCTCATATCTACAAAGGGTAGAAAACAACAACAAAATGAATACATAAATAAATGGCGGGTCAGTAAAAGAGAACAATTAATGGGAAAGATGACCAAATAATGTTTGGATCGTCAAATAAACATATGCGGTGGGTTAGAACGTACTAACTCTTTATCTACAAGGAAGGAGACATCAAGACCAAAGTGGCTGGCTGAGGCCAGGCTCAGCAGTTGTGTGTGTGAATGGACTGCCAGAGCCAAAGGTAAACAGCCATTAGGCTTAGAGCCACTCTGGTAGGCAGCAGAGAGGGATCATTAATCTGACGTCCCCACCTGCTGACTGACCACTGACGTATGAGGGCCCTGTCCATTTACTGACATCCTCAGGAAAACAGCTGGTCTCCTGGCAATTTGGGCTTTAATAGTCAGGTGAGTACTGCCAGAGATGGATGATTAATTCATAAAAGCACCGGGGAAGTGAGGGCACGTTTCAAATTGCGATCTGAGGCTCACCCTCCATGACAACCACAAAGGACTGGCGTCCAATTAAGGCGGAGGATTGCAAAGCTGTGTGAGAACACACGAGTGAGAGCGGTGAATGTTTAACTCGAGACTTGTTTTTACTCACAGTTGATGCCCGGGGTTAATCGAGGACTCGTCCACCACTCTGTCGTACTCCAGCCTGAACTCCTCCAGCTCCCCGTTGTCTCCGAACGCCCCCCACTCCGTGTTCACACACATCCGGCCTTCCTCTCCTTCCACCAGCTCCACGGTTCTCATCTCCTCCATGTAACATGCGTTGCAACCAGTGCCTGATTTTCAAATTAGACTCACCGTTAGCGTTTTGGCTCAACAGCACACTGGGGCGTGTAGACTTCATGTTTCTGGTTTCTTACCGACAATCATTCCGACTTCACAGCTACGATCCTCATAATAGCAGGAGATCATGGTGGCGACCGTGTCATTCACCATGGCCACCACATCCATTTCAAAGTCCTGCACAAAGGCACAAAGTTAGAATAACACAATCACCCAACTGTCTGCAGTTTCAGGGCTCTAAGATTTAGGTGAAAAAAGATCTAAAGCCCTTACCCCTCGTCTCTTGATTGCATCTCTGAGGAGACCGACAACATTGTTCCCCTCTGCCCCAGAAGCCTTGAAACCTTTGGTCCAGTTTAGAAGGATTCCCTGGATAAAATCAAAATAACACAACCATTAGCTGTGTGAACCTGAAACAGCAAGAGAACTGAAGGAAATATGAAGGCAAATTATTTGTTCTTCAGCTTCTAACGGAGAAATGGTGGTAAATATAAATAAAATAAAAGTGCAGTATTGATCTCACCTTGTCAAGATCCTCGTGTCTCACAGGAAAGGAGAAGGTAAAACCCAAAGGAAGCTTCTTGTGCTTGATGTGGTGCTTGTCCAGAAAGTCTGACATACACTCTGCTATGTAGTCAAATAGCTGCAGGAACAGACAAAGAGAAACAGTTTAATGGCAAATATTCAGTAGTGAACAAGGCTAAGACAAGGTAGTGGTAATATTTGGCACTAACCATTTCAGCCGTCCCTGTCATGGCATCCTCTGGAATGGAATACATTTGGTTCTTTGTCTCCACCTTAAAGCCTCTCTCTTCGTCTTCGCCCACTTTCACGAGCATCACGCGGAAGTTTGTGCCCCCGAGATCCAAAGCCAAGAAGTCCCCCACCTCTGTCCAAACCAAACAGAGCACCAGGTGTCTCACAGTTGTTTTTTAAGGTACCACATTTCAGTTATTTCATAGGGATTTTCCCATTGTTCTCAAGAAGGGCTATGTACCTGATCCCTCTGGTGTGGAACAGACATACGTCGGAAGCATTTTTACGCTGGCTTCTTCATGTGTCTCTAAACGGAGCCCTCTGTCCATTTCCCGCTGCATCCTCTTCATGACTTCTTTGAGCTCTTCTTTATTCAGCCTGAACTCCGACAGGATCTGCTCCACCTGCGCACACAGAACAGAGGACGAGGTAAAAAGCTGCACTCAAGCCGGACTGCTTCCTAGTTTTATTAGATAAAGGGGGAGAGGAGTGGTGGAAAATAACATAAAACAAGTATTTAACAGAAAAAAGGACAAATTTGCCGCCAAATAAAATGTGTTTTTCCTGTTTCTTTATCGTAGTAGACATAAATAACTTTTATAGCTGAAGACAAAAAGGAGATCTCACCATTAGGATTCTTTCAACCATTTCATTGAAGCTAAGAGGCATTTTCCCCATCTCGTGGCGAGAACTGATACACGGCATCTTGGTAGATTAAGTGAGAGCAAACTTGTCTTTCTAGGAATATGGTGAGGACGTGCCTGCCCTGTGTCCAGGTTCAATGAAGTGTGAGTACAACAGAACGAGATCAGCTGTTTTTAAGCCCAGGTGATGGGGGCTGGAACCACCAAATACCTCCCCTTTTCAAACTCATCCCATCTGGTGATGAAAGTTCAAACAGAAACACACACACACCCCCAGTGTCACATGATCGTAGATTTACTGCCAATGTAAGAAATTATAAAACACTACACTATGTGACCTCATTTTATGAGAACTGTCTGCGTTCATTACAGAAAAAAAGTACAATTGAAAATTAATAATAACTGGCACAAAATGTGCAGATGGAATTTTTTATGTCATTTGAAGAAAGAAATGTCAAATAAATGGTCAGGTTGGTGGAGGTTTCTCCTCATTCCTCTAAAAATGATTGGTGCTTTGATCCCCACGTCAAAGGTTCTCTTGTAAGACACTGAACCACACATTGCTCCATATATATATATATAGATATACTGTATATATATATAGTATATTATAAGGAGCTATACGGTCATTTTTGGGTATGAAAAATGAAGAGAAATGATTGTTGGATTATTATTGTATTTCTCATTTGGTGCTATATAAATAATTTATACGACTGAAAAGGTCACAAGGTGCTTTACATCTGTGGATTAACTGCACCGTTTTTTATCGAATAACCTACTACTGACTTGTTAATGATAAACAGTTATGATGTTGCTAGTTAGTGCTTTATATAATTCTTAGTTCAGACCTTCAAGTTTTACGGCTAAAGAATTTTTTTTATTGTTTTACAATCCTTATCATTACAGCGTAGATTCAAAGAACTCTGCAATGGTTTAAATTGGATATTGTCTTTATCTTTGTTTCATTTTATTTAGTTATCTGTTTTATCTATCTCAATTTACTCATAGTTTTATCAATTTATCTATTTTCCAGTTTAGCTTCAATTTTGTGGCATTTAGCAGTAAAGATACAATACAATTAAATGACAGAGCGGTTGATGGTACGAAATGATTCAGTTTTACAGTACACTCAAAAATTACTCAACTATAAAAGTTGCAGCTCAACTTTTAATATGCTGATGTTCATTGTCTGCATATATATTGCAACATTATGAAATTATCAATACACCTCTTACAACTGTCAGTTTGTTCTCAAACACTTGTAAGGTGTAAGAAACTAATCTTTCCATTTTTGGGATACTAATCTTATTATGTCACTTAGGACACGGTCACAAATGTATTTTACTAAACTTGTCTGAGGAGTTAGTGTAGAAAAAATTGGAGCCATCATTGACCGTAAGTTACAGTTTCCATAATTGTGAAGATATAGTAATAAAAAAGCTGTCAGTCGATGGCTTCCACTTTTAAGTGACAGTAAAATATCTAACAACCCCCTGGTCTAAGAAAATAAATAGTAATACATTTCACCAAGATGTCTTGAGTCAGGGTTGTAGTGGGATCATTAATATGACCCACGGCTGATGCAAGATTCTGAAAGGTTAACTAAATCAACTTAAACATGACCCCAGTTATCTTAACCTCTCTTTGTTTGGAAACAGCCCATGTTCACACAGGGCTGCTCGAGGAACCAGAGGGTTTCAAAGGTTTTTGGATGTAGAACGTTTCTAAATTTAGTAAGAGAGGGGATGATTGACCCTTAAAACTAATAGAGGCATGCTAAAGGTGAAGGACTCCTGTTCTTATCAGCTCCAACCGTTTGCTTTATGAGTGGTCAGAGCTTTTATTAGCTATGACCGAGGTCAAAAATAAAAAAAAAGTAAGTAATGCAAACCTCTTCCCCAGTGCCCTTACTAGAGGAATTTTACATTAACCAACAGAGGGCCACTGACCTTACAAAAGAGCCATTTATTATGTAATCTTTATCAAATTCAGTAATTATAATGTACTTTAAAGAAGACACCAAGATTACCAATAGGAGACATGTTTAAATCCTTGATGTCTTAATGAAAGCAATGACAAAAATTAATGAAACAATAGTAAGTTAACTACCAATTAGAAGCCTTATGTTGTACTGATACTACTTAAAACATTAAGACTCAGTACAAATGCCATATTTTTGTTTTATTGTTCTCTAAGCACATATTAGCTTTGCCCAAACCAAATATAAGTTGAGTAAGAACATTTGGAAGGGTTAACCTTTGTTACAGCTTTCATTTTAACATCTATTGCTTTCTCAGTACCTCAGGATAAACTTAAAAGTTTTCTGGAACAGGTTTAGTCTTAATAGGTTCACAAATGATGTGTTGGTTTGAGAATACCATCTTAAACAGAACTTTGATCTTTTAAACCAAAGTGAAACATATATTTGTATATGTTAAGAGGGTTATTCAATGGGTCCAAAAGAAAAATCATAACGGTAAACAATGAAGTGGTGACCAAGAGGTACAACTATGCCAGTGTGAATTTTTTATCTTTCATAAAAACCTCAAGCTCAACGTGACATAGAATAAAGACTGGGTGGGGGCCCTTTTGGTGGTGCAACCATTAACTTAGAAGAGTTGAATGGATGCCAAGTGTTTGTCAATACCAGATTATCCACTTAATTTAACCTGCCTGGCTGTTTGCACAGAGACCTGGCTGATGGATCTCCAGCTGGCCTGACGAAGTCAACTTAAAGAACCAAACTATGTTATTCGACTACAGGAAAAGGAAACATATATATAGATGTGGAGGATGATTGTATGTAGGCACAGTGCACATTGTGTAAATAGTCTCTCAATCAGCGCACACAGTGATTTCATAACATCAGAACGGAATAAGGAAATCTGACAGCTTACTTTGTGTTATCTAAACTTTTATGTTTGCATGAGGCGTGGAGGACTTTTTGTAAATGTCCAATGTCATGCTCTTAAACTATGAACAGGGAAAATTCCAGATGGGTTTAAATGCTATTTTAAAAAGAGTCATGTTCATTTAAATGTGTCTGACCAGATGTTCCTATTTCATCTTATGATTAAACAAATCTACATGCAGCACATGTAGAAACAAGATAGATAGATAGATAGATAGATAGATAGATAGATAGATAGATAGA